AAGATATTCTTACAGCTGATTCCGGAACAGGATCCAACTGAATCTTGTTAATTACTTCTCTTGTAGCTAAATTGGCAAAATGCCAAAATATCATAAAATACTAAGTCAATTGATAATATGGAAAAATTAAATAAAATGGAAATTGTATTAATATTTCTATTGATTTTATGAATATGTTAAAACAATTCAAAGAATTATTATTAGAAAAACTGCTTAAGGAGATGTAAATGAAAAATAATTCTTTTATAATTTTAAGAAAACAGTATCAAAATAAATCATTTAAATTATATACATTTCAAATTATTTTAATTTTATTTTATACATATATTATATTAAATATATAAAAATGTATAAAATAGATCAAAATTTAATGAAATATATAAAATACTTACTTTGTGGAATAAATACAGTTTTTTTTTTGAGTAGTTAGATTACATGTAGATTTAATTTTATCAAGATCATTTTTCAACTAAAAAAATTTTAATGATTATATATTTATAATTTATTTATTAAGATATAAAATTCAAAATTATTTATAATTAATATTATACCTGTTCTATTTCTTCCTGTAGTTTTTTATTTTTTTCTCGTGTTGAATTTAATTCTATATTAAAATTATTTTTTTCCTGCCTTGTTTCCAAAGTGGCAGTTTTAGTAATATTTAACTTCAATAAATCTAAATCATTTTTATATCTATTAACAGAGTCTTCCAATTTATCATTTTTTTCCTTTAAATCTGCTTGTTGTTCCAAACGTACATGAAGTGATGCTACCTCATCTTCTGCATGCTTATATCTTTGTTCTAAATTTCCACGTAATGTAACACATTGATCTCTTTCTTCAGCACTAAAACATAATATTTATATGAATTAACATAGTATAACCACCATAATATATACATGTAATATATTAGATTTCTGTCAATTATTAAATCAGTTTTTAAGAATTTCAAACTTCAAGATGTAGAATTTATCTCGAATTATATAGCGTGGCTATATTTTTTATAAATAAATAATTTTTAAAAGTGACGGATGATGTGATAATATAAAATATGTAATAAATTAATTATATAAATAAAAAATTATCTTATAACAATACCTAATTTTAAGTTGTTCATTTAACTCGTCAATCTGTCTAACTAATTCGATATTTTCAGAAGATAAAGTCCACCAGTTGCAAATGAGCATTAAACAAGCAACGAGAAGTCCTCCAACGAGGAGAGGAGGACATCGGCCTCCTCCGACTCTCATACTGTCAATTCCCATTCCTTATTTATTATATTTTATTTAACAGATATACATGTGCATTGAAAATTTGCACGTGTATAAAAAAATTAATCTTCACTATATATCAATCGTATTTTAGAGATGAAGAAATAAATAGCCTTATCAAGTGTCACAATTCATTACTTACAATTAATTCAAAGGCAATTAAAATAATAGCACGTTTCGAACTTTTTATTTTGGTAAGATTTTTTTTTAAATTTTCATAAGATTTTTGTAAAAGCAAATACACTTAATGTGTTGTGGGCGTATCTAATATACACTACCGGTATTGACAATGATATGTATGCATTTTATCACAAAAAATATTAAATCAAATTATATTTTAATCTGTCGTGATTTTTAACACATATCGAACAACTTCGTTTATTTGTTGGCAATCATAACATGACATCAATGTTAAAACGATTTAAAATCAATTCGGTATATATTCATTATACTGAAATAAATGGTAACTGAACAACTGGTGACGGCTAACTATGCAATCACAAATATATATTATACATATATGCATACATACATATATGTATATATATATATATATATACATATATGTAAGCACTCATATTTTTTATACGTAGGATATATTTAATAACTAGAAATTCTTATTATGTCTATCTAAATATATATGTATATATGTAATGATAATAAATGAAATCGAATTTCGATCTTTATACGTGATTATCTATATATTTCTATTACAAACTTATATATACATATATACATATATTTTTTATGTTTAATATATTTTATGTAATTTTATATTTTTATTTTAAATAAAATTAAAATTATATCTTAAACACACAAATAACAAATATAGAGATCAATGCGATAAAGGATAAAAATAGAATAAAAATTGATATCAGCGCCATCTCCAGAGTAGATGAAATAAAAAAAAATAGAGATTAAAAATTGATAACACTATCTCTTGATATTTTGTTTTTAAGAAGATATTTTAGCAAGAGATGACACTAATACTCAATTCTTATTATATCTTATTTTGTCTTTAAAAAAATATTTTTAGCATTCGGGAGATAGCGTTAATTCTCAATTCTATTTTTATCTTTTTTTTATTATTCACATTCTTTATTTCTCTTCATTTGTAATACTTTAAAAATAGTACTGATTTTTTATTTTTTAACTTATTTATCTTTTCTTATTATTTGCTCTTTTTATTTATATTTGTTTTTGGAATATGACTACAATTTGAATATTACACTAAAATCTAACAAGGGGATCTATATTGTTCTTAAAGTTACTTTTATTAAGAATAAAATAAGAATACCACCTATCAGACAAAGAATTAATCAGTTAAGTTATATTTATTAAGAATTATTAAAAAATACAAATATTTAAAAATGTAGAAAATAACTTTATAAGGAATTATATTAAAAAATAAAATAAATTATCTTCTAAAATCTTTATACTAATATTTAAAAAAAAGTATATATTATATCTTTTAAATATCTTATTAGAAAAATTTGTACAATATTTTTTCATATCACATCTAATCAATATTTTTCATATCATTTTATATTTGTAGAAGGTAGTAAATCATCAATATATATATATATATATTTAAAAAATTATAAAATAGATGAGAAAATATTGAAATATTTTAATATTGCTACTATCAGAAATATTAATTTTTTTAATATTAATTTTTATGATTCAATATTTTTAGTACTATGATTGAAGTTGAAAAAACAAGCATTACATATATTTATATAAAAATACGTAAATTATATTATTGTTATCTTTGTATCAAAGACGCATAATTCGATAACTTATGAAAGTTTATATTTTAAATATATAAAAAGATAATTATCGAGATCATAATTTTTGAAATATCAATATTTATTTTACAGTTCATTTTGATTATTTTTATCATTGTGAAGTCTATCTATCATTACAAAATCACATGTAAAAAAAAAATTTTATGTTCTTATTTGAATAGAGAATATAATTACATATTCGTGTTTCTGGTATAAAGTGACGATATATTTTTTTCAAATATAAAAAAATTATATGAATAAGCAATTATTAAAAAAATATATTATTTTATTATATTTTTTATAAGGCAATTACAATATTATCGAACTTGGTATACAATTTGTACATTTTCTACTACTTCGAGTGCTTCAGCATCAGTGTCGCGAATCGTTAAGACCAATAAATTATATATATTATTATTTATTAGAGGTAGATATGTACATAAATAAATTTATCTAAATCTAATATTATATGTATATTACTACACACATGATTACTATTGCTGTATTATTGATTGATATTTTAATTTATATATGCTTTTAAATGTTGTACTGCACTTTGAAATTACATTCTATATTTTCTGTTGGTATATTTGTACTTAGTTTAGGATTTAGAATTTATGCAATATAATGAAATAAAGATACAAACAGCACCTTACATTCGTTATCACAGCTTAATATATTTTATATTATTTTTAATAATTTTATATTATTGGTATTGCATCTTTTTTTTGGTATTTTAAATTTAAACACAATATTGATAATTTTTAATTTCTGATTAATGTTTTAAATTTTGAATATTGATATTTATTTATTTCGCATTCCTGCATATCGATTTGCGATTGCTTGTTTTCTAATTTTTATAATATAATTCATATCTTATTCTTTTATTATCATTTTTTCTTATGTTGAATGCATTCCCATTATATATATATATATATATATATATATATATATATATATAGTA